ATGCTCTACTGTACAAAATCAGCCGCTATTCCGGAAAAACTATTCTGCTCCCGCTCGGGCATAGGTCCTTATTCCGGAACACTTCCGGAAAAGGGCCAGTGTAGACAGCCCAGTAGTCTTTTCCGGAAAAAAGCCCCGATCGCGAAAATGGCTATCGGGGCTCTTTTCCGGAAAAGCACGTCAACATTGGCCACAGACGCTTTTCCGGAAAAAGGGCTTTTCCGGAAAAGCAGCCTGCCAATGTAGATGCTCCTTTTCTGGAAAAACTGAAAACGGAATAGTATTCCGTTTTAAGCAGTTCCGGAAATTCATGACAGTGTAGACACAGCCATGGTGTATAACAAATAGTGACCAAAGCATGTCAGGGCAGCAGACAGGATATTTTCCAGGTGATACAAAGAAATGTGTTAAATGCAAGCTTGCATCAAATGCTGTAAAACAATTTTTTTAAATTCATGGATTGATTATAGCGGATTTTTTTCATTAAAAAAGGAATTTTATTTATTCTGGTGAATCTGCTGACTTCAAAACAAACACTCTTTGTGTTTCATTTGCTTGGAGGTGGTAAGGCAAAAAAAGTGAGACCCCCCCCAAAATGCAAAGGCAGTACGTCACCTTCACATCGGGATCTGTTTGTAGTCACTAGGGCTCACTATATAATTATGGAAGTTGGCAGAATTCCAATCAGCAAATAGACATGCAGGAACAAATTAATTTGTAAATAGTGATAATGAATTCCAAAACACTCACCTTTTCCCTTTATGCTAATGTGTGCATGCTTGCAGGCTGCACAGTACAAATACCGTATTGTGCCCATATATCTCATTCAGAGTTTGAGTTACTACATCCACATTTCCAGATTTCTCTTCTAGGAGTTGCTGTTTATCTGTCTGTCTGTGACAAGCTAAGTTAACTAACACACGAGGTTTCCATGAGCTTCATTCTGTTCAACTCTCTCTGCTATCATCGCGATAAGTATCCAACTCCTGTTTCCAGACATTTCCACATGATACTTGCTACATACAAAACAAACACAGAGAAAAACCAGGTAAGTGACATGTAAGGAATCGATATCTCACTTCATTTGTTTCAATCTGCCCAAATGCATATTTTTGTTGTCTGTAGCATGACAAGAAAGCTGATAAACAAGCATGTTTGGCTGTGTGGAATACATTTTCACTGTGATGTTAAGCACAATTTGAAAATTTAATTTACTGTTTGATTTTGATTTTGCAAATTGCTTGTAAAAGGTGATAAATATTGGTATGTGCTAGCTCTGTAAAAAGACATGTAAGTTTGGTAACTTTTAAATCGCTATTTTTAAAGGAACTTTATTTAAAAATGCAGAGATTATTTTGGTGTAAACTACTTTGAGATCTTCAATGGAAAGTTATAATACTGCTGCCCTTTCTAGTTCATTCTTTTAATACTATGCAAGGGATATTATCATATTTTCATACTTATTGTTTAATTATTCTTCACACATCGTGTAACCAGACTGTGTCCCAGTATTTGAAATCTCTCACAACTACAAATGATATTTCTTATCTTTGCTCCCCGCTTTGGGGTTTTTTTCCTCTGCCCAAGCAGCGTCTTGAGATTGGGCTTAAAATGACAAGGAGGAGAGGTGAGGTAATATTTGCCCGTGAAAAGAGACAAGCTTTTGAGCTTGACTCTGCTTGAGGTCTGAGAGAGTTACTCAGACTGTCAAGCTACAACCACACTGTAAATAATACAGGTTACTTAAAATAAGTTTATGTTTATATTATGAGTCTGTTGCTGTTTAATTTTGAATCATAATAATTTAATCCTAACAGTTCTCCTGCCTGTTAACTAGATAAGCATACAGTTTACAGGCCTATCTGTCTTCTATCTCCAATCACTTCTCAGCAGCAACGAGATTTCTTAGCAAATTTGCTTGGAAGAGTAAAACCTTCTACTCTTTCCACTCACTCACTGATGGAGAGATCAGGGCAGTGGCTTGGCCCTTCTGACTCTTGATATTATTTACTGTGCTCTAAGGGTGTGTCTACAGTACAGGTTTTTTTTTTCTAAAAAAGTGGCCTTTTTCGAAGAAAAAAAAAACCCAACTAAAAACCAACCTTCCCCTGCATCTAGACTGCCGCCACATTCTTTTGAAATGAAATCGAAAGAATGCGGCAGTTTTTTTGACCGTAGAAAACCTCATTTTATGAGGAAGAACTCCTTTTTTTCGAAAGCGCTCTTTGGAAAAAGGTGTTCTTGAATGCAAACGGGGCTTTTTTGAAAGAGAGCATCCAGACTGCCTGGGTACTGTCTTTCGGAAAAGTGGCTCGCTTTTTTGAAAGAAGTGGTTGCAGTCTAGACGCTCTCTTTCGAAAGAGGCTTATAGTCTAGACATAGCCTAAGCGTCCCAGTGTGCTTAAGTTTTTACTGTGTGCTGTGAAACAATCAGACTCCAGTTACTATCACAGAAATGGGGCCCGGGAAGGAAAAGAAAATCTGCTGATTCTTGTAGTCTTTTCCATATGAATTTTCCATATGAATATATAAATTTTCGTATGAATATATAAATAATAGGTAGTGAAGAAAAGACAGAGAGCACCAAAATCCTGTTACCGTGTTTCTTAAGAAGTTTTACCAATGAAAAAAGCTGTTAAAAAGTGACAGTTATAATAGAAGAAAATAGAGAAAGAAATCACTAATAAGTCTTCTGGGGTAAATTTTGTTTTCATAAATTAAGGCCACAGGCAACCTTATTATTTTAGCCAGATCTATAGTATAAGTTTTTGCTGGAATATCTATGTGAGTCCAAGAGTGAAGACAGGTGATCCTAACCAATATAGTTGTGCCCATAATAGTCCCTGGAGAAGATGCAGTTGTACCAAGAAAACTCAATTTCCAAAGGCCAGAGAAGTTCGTAACCTTATGATGCCTTTTGTAACCCACATCATTCTGATACAATTAAAGCCTGGTTAAGTAGCTAGAAGGATACTACACATTGCCACCAATGACTGAACAAGTAGTGTTCATCTAAAAAAAATTATTAGACTTTTTCTTCTGTTGGACAATGCAGTTTTGTTGAAATTGAAACATTTTATGGGAGCATCTTGTTTTTGGGAAAAAATTTGTTGAGAAATGTACTAAATGAATTGTTCCAACATGTTTCATTTCAGTAATGTCAAAACATTTGGATATTGACTCTAGTTTCATTTCATTTATGTTATATCTGTAGATATAGATATTCCTTAGTATGATACCTGCTTTTATGTTATCAAAACAATTTGAGATTCCACACTGAAGAGTTGTGTCATTTCCATTGTGACAAATTTTGACTATTTAACAAATTTTGAAATGTGGGAATTTTCCGCAGGACTAGTTCTGATAAGATGTGCTCCTCTTCACTGTACTATCTTGAAAATTCAAGGAAATAAGGGAAACAGTATGTCATTTGGAGAAGCATGCAGGGCAAAGGCTGTTAGTTACTTTGCAGTAGTAATATTTTTGCTTACTAGGGTCTGCATTTAGATATGGTGGGAATGCTTGCTTGCTCAAATAACCCTGGGAGCTCTGCTGGTGAGTGTTTTACTTCCTAGACAGAGAAAGAAAGGGACAGATTAAAAGCAGTCCACTGGCCCTCCAGGTTTCACAACATGCCCCCAAACCTATCCTCTAAAAGTTCAATTAGGGAAGCACAAGACAGCCAGATATAGACACTGTCTTGGCAGAAAGGACGAGTCTTGGGTAAATCCATCAAGATGTGCAGAGTTTCTTTACTAAAGATAAAACAGTCTTTGAAGATAGTCTTTAAAACTTGTGACAGCATCCGCAACAACAAAAGCCATGCGGGGGATGAATAAATGGAGGAATATTATCCTTTGAGTAAGCAAATATTGATTACCACTCATTATAGTCTTTCTAGATTTTAAGAGGATTTGACAGCCTCCCCCTTGATTGACTCTGGAAAATATTGAAATGTAATGACATGCCAACAAAAATGTCATTGAGCCTTTATATGAAGGTGCCCCAGGCACAGTTAAGCCAGTCACTAAACTCTGCTCATACTTTAATATAGATGAGTCAAGAAAAAACATCCTAGTTTGCCCCCACAGTGTCTGTCTGGGATGCCATTGGATACTGGAGGAACATGTAAAAGGGGCCAATTAAAAGAATCTCTGTGTCAAACGGGGGAAACCTAATGGCTGTGTCTAGACTGGCAAGTTTTTCCGCAAAATCAGCTGCTTTTGCGGAAAAACTTGCCAGCTGTCTACACTGGCCACTTGAATTTCCGCAAGAACACTGACTTCCTACTGTCTGAAATCAGTGCTTCTTGCGAATTGAAGTCAAATAACTTGGCCCTTTTAGACAAGCATCCAAACATTACGTATGAACAAAGAAAATATTCCTGGTTCTTTTTTAGCTCATAAGTAGGTTTGAAGTCAGTTCAGTTGTTTTTCTTGGTCACAAGCATTGTGTTTCCCAGCATGTTTTGAAACAGAGGCACTGCACAAGTTTCTTGATTGTTAATTTTTTTATTTAAAAACAAATATTCTAAGGTGACTTTTTAAAAAAAACACCACGTTGCTTTGTCGTGGAGAGACTGAAATACCAACATAGGGAATTGTGCTATTTCTTTGTTCTTCTGCAACCAGGGCATTTTGCAGTGGACATTACTGTGGGACTGTGACTTAGCCAGTGGGGCTGTGTCCAGACTCAGGGTTTTTTTCGGGAAAAGTAGCCTTTTCCCGAAAAAACTTCCCCTGCGTCCAGACTCAAGCCGCGTTCTTTCGAAATAATTTTGAAAGAACGCAGCTTTTCTTTCGATGGTGGTAAACCTCGTTTCACGAGGAAGAACGCCTTCTTTCGAAAGTTCCTCTTTCGAAAGAAGGTGTTCTTCAATATAAATAGGGCTTCCTCGAAAGAGAGCATCCAGACTCGCTGGGTGCTCTCTTTCGAAAAAGCGGATTGCTCTTTCGAAAGATCCGCCTACAGTCTAGACGCGATCTTTCGAAAGAGGCTCTTTCTAAAGATGCTTTCGAAAGAGCCTCTTTCGAAAGAAGCCTGCAGTCTAGACATAGCCTGGGTCTCATAAGGGCATATAAAGCAGCCCTGAATGGATAGGGTTAGGAGAGCCTTATCTGTGCCTAAAGCAACATTAGGAGGCATGAGAAGGATTCTAATTCAGAAATATTTTACAGTTCTGTAGCACATCTTTACTCAGAAATACTTCCGAGCGGGAAACAGATGCTGCCACTATTTTTTGAAACTCACCCAATTTTCTGGCTGAGGGAGATTGACTATAGCTCCAAAGAGGAGGCTAGAGCAATAGATAGGATGTTTGGGATTTTAAAACTCCTCTTGAAATACTGTTTCCCACAGAAAACTTTCCCGGTATGATAAGCACTACACCAGATACGTGATGATGTTACTGGGTTTTTGAACAAGTGGTTGCAGGAACTAGCTATGCCAAACTAGGTGCTTCTGCAACTAAATCATGGCACATCTTGCCTCGTATACACTAATAGATGGGGATTACTGGACTGAGTTCTAGCTTTGAAAAATAGTTGATTTCATATGCAAAAGGTGACCAAGACTTTTTTTTTAAAGGCAGTCTTATGTGACATCTCAGAAATTCTGATTACAGGAAACTTTTAATTGTTGCCAGTAATTATTTTCAGAAGCCTGGCCACAATGCCCACGAAGCATGCTTTGAGGGATCACTTGCACATTAATCTCTGTTGGGCAGATCAGCCTTGCCCATTGCGTAAAGGCATGAATAAAAAAAAATCCAAGCAGCTTTTCCTTATGGTCACTATACCCCTTGAAAAAGCAGTTTTAGCTGAAGTTTGGTTGGGGGAAAGTGAATACTATATACACACTCTGGGGTGTGCATTATGCCAAAGAACTTAGAAAAGGCTGTCTCCCCACCAGCACAGAGAGGAAAAAAGCATGGGAGAAAAAGGATGCACTATGCAAAAAGATACCCTGGCTAGTCAATGAACTTGTGTTTCCAGTTACTGAGTTTTGCTTTCACAATGGAATGTCTTTTTACATCAGTTTCTTCCAATGTGTGTGTTTGTTAGCACACATCTTAATTGCATTAACCACTGTGGTTTCTTGTTATGCTACCAGGAAAATTTCACATTCAGACATGTTTGCTGCAAGGGATAGAAGATACAACTAGCAGTTATCTTCACAGCTGAACACATCCTAGTAAAAGATATTTTAGCAGGTAAATACATGTAATTTACAGCAAACTGTATACATATTCTGATGGCTAAAGTGACAATGCTTTTCAAACGCTTGAATGTCTTACTGTCTGATTGTATTAAAACTCAGATTTTTCCTTAGTGTGTCTTGTAAAAATAGTACAGAATGTCTGGAGGGCTTCCATTGAGTATTGGAGGGATAGGAAAGGCAAAACATTGTGTTAAAATTTTCTTCTGTCTGGGATCTCCGTGAGTTATGTCCGGGATCTCCATGAACTTTGTATAGGAGTTAGGTTTTTTGCACCTGAATGCAGGGCTGCTCCGACCACATAGGCAAACAAGATGGTCCTTATGGTGCCAGGCTTAAGGGGCATCAAATTAGATGAAAGTGTTTTTTTTCTCTATTTAAAAATATATGAATATGTTATCTCTTCTAAACAAAAGGATAAAATATTGTACTCACAAACCAGTGCAGTGTTGCTATGTCAGAAGGGGAGTTGTATTCTTTATTTCAAATTGTGGCGCATGGCTGTGTATGTAAGTACAGTTAAAATGTGTCACAGCCTAGCTTCACAAACGCCTTAGTTTGCTGCCTGGGGGCAGAATCTGGCAGTTCAGTCACTTTTAGTAACTCAGTGTTGGCCAATGATATAGTTGAGTCAATGTTGCTTACCGCTTAGTGAAGGCCGGTCAGTGACCTACAACAGCTGTTCTGCCGTGTTACAAGCACTGATCCTGAAAACACTGGGCCTACAAACATTTTTTATTGTATTAGAACATAAGAACGGCCATACTAGGTCAGACCAAAGGTCCATCTAGCCCAGCATTCTGTCTTCTGACAGTGGCCAGATGCCCCAGAGGGAGTGAACAGAACAGGTAACCATCAAGTGATCCCTCCCCTGTCATCCATTTCCAGCCCCTGACAAACAGAGGCTAGGGACACCATTCTTACCCATCCTGGCTAATAAGTGTTGCTATGACCTAACCTCCATGAATGTATCTAGTTATTTTTTGAACCCCGTTAAAGTCCTGGTCTTCACAACATCCTCTGGCAAAGAGTCCCACAGGTTGTCTGTGTGCTGCATGAAGAAAAACTTCCTTTTGTTGGATTTAAAAAAATTGGTAAGAAAATGTAACAGGATTGTAAAAGGAGAGTCAAAAGTGCTTGTAAGATTAAGATGGTGTATTTATTGTAGAATATTACTATTAAAATAATAGTAAAGCCCCGATTTTCAAACACCCGATTACTAATGTTAACAACTTGCAAAAAGCAAAAGCATGAAAAGAAAAGTTCTAAATGTTTACACAAACCGATGGCCCGGTGTAAAAGTGTTACTACTTTAAAACAGACATAATTTAATATCAAAGAATAAAGATTTTCATAGCTTCTCAAAAAACAGTTCCTTTGGAAGGAAGACAGTTGTAAATTCAAATACAGCTGTTTATAGCACTGACTAAAAACACTGTGTAGAATTCAGAATGGTTAAAACTTTAAAGTGTCAGCTACTGTGCAGTTTACCCTATACAGGTAATGAAAAGTAGGAAAAAAAAACATAAAATCGTTTTTTTTTTCATTTTTTACGTTGTTCATTTTGAATGCCAAATACATAAAGACAAATTTTCATTCTAGACTTCTCATTTTTCTCTGTACGGAATGTGTGTATATGTGGGAGGGTAGCACCAAAGTCATGGTTCACTGTGGGTGCCAAAAGCCCTTGAGCTGGCCCTGCCTGGATGATGATAGCTGCTGTCATTTCCAACTTGAGTATCTGTTGACTCAACCATGGCCCAATATCATCCCCTTCTTTGAGATTCAAATGTCCCAGAAAACTCAAAGTAAATCTGCTCTAGGTCCCTCCTGAACAAAACTACTATGGTTACAGTGTATAATTGTACAAAAATTCAGAGACTGAACTGAATCAAATAAGTCTCAATTTTATCCCCACTTAAAAAAAAAGCTGAAAGAATATTATTTACCTTTTTAGCTGTCCAGCTTCCACACTACAGGATAAAGACATTTCATTCTCTTAAACCTAATATAATCCAGTGTTCCTAAGCCTTTACCTTTTCCTCCTGCTATGGTTTCAGAAGAGGATCTGTTCTGCCATTCCAGAGATTTCCGGCTCGTTATTCCATTTGTGTGTGGAACTGCAAAAGAAGGTTGCAGCTAAATTAAAGTCCAATAAACTGAACAGGTGACGACTTCCTGTAGCTCTAGACTAGATTGTGTCAGTGTTTACATAGTTAATCTCATTTTACAGCTCATATCTCTGCAAAAACTCAATTTAGGTTCAAACTCCAAGACCATAATTTTAAACAGAGGTGATTTTATTTACATAATATATATCAATATGATATGTGTGTATGAGAGAGAAAGACAGTCATTATTTGAATGAGACATTAGGGTGAACTAACCTAGAATAACTCGGTTTTTAAATACTGGGATAACTCTCTTCCCATTGTTCTGATCCGAAAAAGATGATCTTTTCTAGTATTCCACTTGGATTGGTCTTTTTTTTTAAAAGGTAAGTTTAAGTTTTTGGATAAGTCATCCTCACTTCGAATATCAAACCAAGACAAGAAGAATAAAGCCCCAAGAGTGCCGTAAGAAAATATTCTCATAAGGTTACCATCCTAAGTATGCAGGAGCTTCATGTGCTGTGATATAATAATTTTACTGAAATCCATTATCAGGTGAGTGAGTTATCTTTAAGCCTAGATAGCATTTCACAGCAATTATTGTATCTATTTCACATATTTTATTTATATTTTTTAAATAATGTTTTCTACTTTAAATTAGTAAAATTTCTGATCTCTCTCTTCCTGTTCAGACTTTTCTCCCTACTACAAATTCCACAGAAGGATGAACAATAACTATAACTATCTATGAAGAGAGAGGTAACCTCTAAAAATGATCTAAAATAGTTTCTATATACCATAACGTAGCAGCTTTAAAGCATGATGCAGTACATTTGGTTGGGGCTAGACAAACATGTTCTCTTGCTGGGATAGATGAAAGGGGATTGTGTCTTGCTGTGATGATTCACAAGAAATTTCTACATTGGAGACAAATAAAATGATTTTGGGGAAAGGAAGATATAGTTTATTTAGCTACCTTCATTAAATCAACCACATAAAACCCACAGGCATCTGATTGAAAGACATAAATTTCCAGTAGTAGTTTTGATGGGAAAGGATTAGAAGAGACAGTGGAAATAGATTCATGTGATAAGCTGCCATTTTCTTCTACCCGTGAACATCTATTTATCACATTGGATCTCAGTACTATGGCTAAGGTTACATGTTCACCCTTACAAATTCTCGTGAAAATGTATCAGCTCAAGCATAACATCAACCTCCCAGTCCTTTATTTCAGTGATAATGAAGAAACTATTTAAAGCTTACCTGAATACTAGAAAATATACACACACTAATCTTAATGAATGAGTCCGTAAAACCTGGCAAGATGAATGTACATGGATGCTCACTGATTATACAGATGTTCACAATGCTCTATCCTGAAGAATGGAAGATACTGTACACAGTGTAAAACTTGACTTTTTTTTAAGATATGAAAAAATACCCTGTGGGCAGTGGTTTGTTTATTTTTCCATATAATACTGTTGGTCGGTATTTTAGCTGTATCACTGAAGTGCTGAGCACAGCTGGAAATGTAGAACAAATGTGGCATTACACCCCTAACAGGGACTGAATTTTTGTCCTGATCCATGATTGGGCTCCTAGGCTTGATTTACACTACTTCGGAAGGTTGAAGTAAAATATACAATTCCAGCTACATAAATTATGTAGCTGGAGACAATGTATCTTACATCACATTTCTGGGCCGTCCGCACAAAGGGGGCAATGGGAGCAAATGCTCCTGTCAGCTTCTTTTATTCCTCGTGAGAAGCAGGAGTACTGGCACCAACGGAAGCGCCCTCTGAGTTTGATTTATCAGGTCAATATTAGACCCACTAAATCAAACCCTGGAAGATTAACCATGACAGTGTCAATCTTCCACATAGTGTAGACATGCCCCCAAGTGCTATAGTAATACAGATAATTATGAATAATTTGTGGGTCTATATTGGCCTAGCTGTATTATAACATACGGTAATCTTAGGGAGGCAAACTATACTGGCTGCCAACAAAACCCAACAGCTATCCCTGGAATTCCATAAAGGATGCTTCAGCCATGCTTCTTTGCTGGAACAGGGTATTGCATAGGTGCTGTTATGGTGGATCTGACACCAGAGGCTGAATGATCAATTAGCCAGATCAGCTGGGTTTCTAGTTCTTTATGGCAGTGGACTTGCAAACAACATTTATATAGCACGATAGACAATTAAGCCATGTGTATTGGAGGATATATTCTGTTTTTGTATATTCTCTAAGGCAACAGAGGTAAATGACTCCTAGCTGCTACATCAAGACAAGTAATAATATGATCCTGAATTTTTACTTGAGTAGACGCTGCAGAATTGAGCCCTCAAGCTGCAAAATCTGAAAGAGATGTTCACAACTGAAGTCAGAGAAACTTAAACCCCAGGTAAGCCTTGGCTGATGGGTGAGAGACTGTTCTGTGGGTAGATACTGTCTGTAGAGAATTACAGGATAGTCTTGGTAAAGATTCAGAATACAGCTGCAGTGTTCAGATTCTCCCTTTGTAGTTTGCAGTAAATATTATGTTTTAACACTAAAAAGTGATATAAAAAGTATGATGAGAATTTACTGTATGTATTTTTGTAAAGAGAGCTCTGAAGAATTCCTTTTGTTGAATGAAAGAGAACAAACCCCCAGAATGCTATTCTGAAATATCAGTGTTTAATATACAATAGCAGGTCTGTTTTATATCCTCTTTTTCTTTTTTTTTTATATTTGTTAATCTTCATAAGTTTAACCTCCCTCCCCTGAGATTTTCATTTTATAAATAAAAGAGCTTAATTATTTCTATAATGAAAGGATTGGAGTTCCCACAAACTGATTCTTTCCATTTAAAAATCATTAGAGGTATAATAAAATGCATTTAGTTGGTGACCCAGGCAGCTGCTTTACAAATTACTAGCGTGAAAAGTGAGAAGAAATATTGAAAAAAGATGGCGCAAAGCAAAAGAGTTGTCATTAGTGGATGACAGAATTCAGATCTTGACTAAGGAAAATAAATCCGTGGGGGAACTCATGGTGCTGCAGTTGATATACAGCAAAACCCACAAAAACAGAAAATGTTGCTTAGGTGTTTGTAAGAGAGGGTAGGGACATTATCTGCTGAGGTTAAAGCATTTAGGGCACCCTGCAGTCTTCATAACATCTATCATATATATTAATTATTGAAGAACAAAGTAGGCGGTTTTCTATTCTCACTTACAATAATTATTTACTTGAATAGTATGTCTACACTTGCCCCCTAGTTCAGACTAGGGAGGCAAATGAAGCATCCCGAAGTTGCTAATGAAGTACGGGATTTAAATATCCCATGCTTGATTAGCATATTCACATCTGGTCGTCATTTTAAAATGCTGGTCCCCCTATTTAACTTGCCACGGGTAGACGCAGTAGTCCGATTTAAAACCCTTCCCTCGAATTAACTGTTACTTCTCGTGCAACCCTTCCCTCAAATTAACTAATACTCCTTGAACTAGGGGACAAGTGTAGACATACTCTCAGAGAGGTGCTCATGTTAGTCTGTAATGTTAAAAACAGCAAGTAGTCCTTTGGCATCAGGGTCCTGGTCTACACTAGGGCATTATTTCGAAATAACTAGCGGCGCTGTCACACTACCAAGCCTGTTATTTCGAAATAAGGGGCTGGTTATTTCAAAATAATAACTCATATTTTTCATGAAAAATAACGCTTATTTCCAAACAGTTATTTTGAAATAGCGGTAGTGTGGACACTTCACTGCTGCTATTTTAAAATAACTACTCCCGAGAGTCATTCAAAGAATAACTCCCAAGTGCTTCCTGGGGCTCTTAGTGGAGGTAGCACATCCACATTAAGGGAGCCTGCCTCGGACTAATTTTGAGGCTTCCCTGTAGTGTGGACACGCTATTTTGAAAGAGTTATTTTGGGAGTTATTATTTTGAAATATGTTATTTCAAAATAATTTCCTAGTATAGACATGCCCTTAGAGACTAATAAAGGTATAGGATCATGAGCTTTTGTGAGTAATACCCACTTCGTCAGATGAGTTGGGGTGCAAATACAGAATCCAAGGTACATACATCAGCAAAAGCAGTTACCTGTCAATTGCAGAACCCTTGTTAATAAAGCTAATTAAGTAGGTTGGATGTGTTCTATTCATAGAGTTACTCATTGGTGCAAACCAGGAATATAAGATCAGATTCTGCCCCATGGAACAGAATGGTATCTATATAATGAAGACATGATAGTGCATGCTGACTCTCTTAACAGGCTCACACACGTTTTAACCAAAAAGTCTATAGGTACCCTAAGTGTCTACAGCAAGGCAAGCAAGCTGGACAGATTAGAGCCACTGAGATTAACTTTAAGAAAGAAAAGGAAATCCCCTGTGCCGCCCTCTGAACCCAGGCAGGGCAGCTTTGAAGGTTAGGTACGTCTAGACTACGGTTTTTTTTTCTGAAAGGAGATATGCAAATTTGGTGATAATTTGCATATCTTCTGAAAAAGGGTTTTTGGAAAGTGAAAGTAGTTTAGACGCAGTTCTTTTGAAAAAAAACCCTTTTTTTGAAAGAACCTTCTTCCTCAAAAATTGAGGTTTACAGGTTCTTTAGAAAAAAGTGTTTTTTTTTCTGAAAGAACCGCATCTAAACTACTTTCACTTTCAAAAAACCCGCTTTTGAAAAAGCGATCTGAAGAAGATATGCAAATTAGTGCCGAATTTGCTTATCTCCTTTCAGAAAAAAAATTTAGTCTAGACGTACGCTCAGTGAAGACATGGCAGTATGGACCCTGGCATGCGCTAGGAATTCAAGCATGTTTTGGGAGTTCTTGTGCAGTTTGTGCACTATTGCATCCTCTTTTGTTTTTAACCACCTATGTTAATATTAGTGCACGCATGTCTCCGTAAGAAGAAAGGACATATGTGATTGCAGTGTAGACATACCAACAGTCAGCTGATAGAACTCCTGATTAACTCCATCTGCTCCTGTTGGATTGCAGACCTTAGCACTTCATCTGTTGTGGATCAGGAGCTAATTAGACATTGTCTTCAGCTTGGACTTTAAAGTCATACTACACCGTCTAGTCCATCCACATCCCTGCTAATGCAGGGATTGCTCCCGGGGCTCCCTTTTCTGTTTCATTTTATTTGTTTACACATTTCATGTGGAGCCTTGGGCTTTCCACCAATTCTCTGAGGACACTGGTCCACATCCTATAATGTCAGCATAAGATTATGCTACTTCTTTTAGAAGTAAAGAGAATTTACATCCCAGAATATGGGGTGTGGCTAAAACATCTTTCAACTTATTTTGTACCCTTGCAGTCCTGGGCTAAACTGCGGGCTGGATAGGCCCCCAGCAATGTTCCCTTTAATCGTTTCCATCCAGGTGCAGATTTTTTCCATCCATGTGCGGGAAATTTTTTTCTGTGTGCACAGAGGTATGTGCGAATGTGCATCATCAGCAGAAACAAAACCTATCTGTGGGGGCAATGCTATCTGTGGGGGCATTTGAATTTCTCCTGAGCAGCTGCACAAGCACACAGTTGGAACATGGGCCCCTAGTATAAGTTTGGATGGTCCTGGGGCCTCTCTACATGACAGTATGATCTTTCAAATCTTGTTTATTGCATTCTCACCCTGACGTACCCTGTATCCCTCAGCCCTACCTCTCATGCCCAGGCTTGTGGGGTAGAAGTCCTCAAAAGGCAGGCTTACAGTTGTCATCTAAGGGTGCGGCCTTTTTTCAAAAAAACTTCATCTGCATCTAGACTGCCGTCGCCTTCTTTCGAAACTAAATTGAAAGAACGTGGTGTGTGGTTTTTTTAAATCAGTAAAGCTACTTTTACCAGGAAGAATGCCTTTTTTTTTGAAAGAGCTCTTTGGAAAAAAGGCATTCTTGAACGCAAATAGGACTTTTTCGGAAGAGAGCATCCAGATTGCCTGGGTGCTCTCTTTCAGAAAAGCGGATCACTTTTTCAAAACTCTTGTGGCTGTCTAGACAATCTTTTAAAAAAAAGTCTGGTAGTCTATAGGTACCCTAAGTGTCTACAGCAAGGCAATCATTCAACAACTGGAGCTGAGGATTTTTAGGGCCCCTTTAGTTTGGTCTGGACCCTTCATAAGCCACAGAGAGGCCAGACCAGGGATAAGGAACACCCCTTTGCTGGTAAGTTTTTCTTAATATTAAATACCTCTGAAAGGAGAGTCCTAGGTATCTCTAATTGGACACCTAAGCTTAGAACTCATTTTTGACAATGTGAACCTTATTTCTTTTAATTGATCTCCATATGTTGACCCTTCTAGTTTGTGTCATTTTCATTGCTCTTCTTGAACCGCTACCCAGTTTTGGCAATGTATTTGTGACCTTGAAGGTGTTTATAACTGAAGTCATATTGGGACATTCCTCTTTACATAATCAAACATCAGTCACAAAATCAAATTTATCGTATTGGCTGCCATATTAAAACAACAAACTCCTATCTCACCTGCTGTCCATACCCCAGCTCTTTCAGTATGGGTTTTTCACGTCCACTCGGTGTATATTCTAGATTAGTTTCCCCATAGTTATTGCCTTGCATTTTGCTAGGCAGCACTTCATTTTGGTTGTTTCCTGCATGTGCTTCTAACGTCTCTTAGCTCTTTGTATTATTTTGGATCTTTACTGGCACTTTGGTCTAGTATCATGAATCAGTTTAATTAACATGCCATTTTGCTCCCTCTTCCACGTTGTTAATGAAGGTGTTAAATAAATCGGAACCAAACATGGATCCCTGTGGGTCCCTACCAGACACCTCCAACCAACTTGATACATTGCCATGTCTCATTACCCTTTGTCTGCACACAGCCAGCCACTTTTAAATCTAAGTGACAGTGCTCCATGTTCAAGCCAATTTGAATTAATTCTGCAAGTAAAGATTCGATAAGACATTGCATTAAATGCTTTACTCAGCCCAGATATATTACACATAGTTCTATTTACTAATTTTGAAAAGCTATCAGAAAAAGCAATCAAGCTCTGGAGATTACTAGTACACTCTGCCTCCTTCCCACTAGCCATAAAAAAGCTGTTTACTTAAACTGAAGTGCCAGGATTACCAAAGCATTACCAGGGCACCAGGCTGAGTGTTAATTTTTCAGTTATTTTTCTACTCTATTCTCTGCTCAATTTCCAAGAGGACCCTAATTGTTTCACTTTTGGATATGGAGCTACTCTACCTGGGTTACTCTCCCAATTGATGGACTGTTGCTTGTGCATATCTGGAAAAAGTCACATGATATTAGCAGTCTAGTTTTCTGAATATGTCCCTACCTATTAGTTACAGTCACCCACTTTCATTATTCCTGATACAAAATGTAGATATGGCAAGACACTTTGGCTGTGTCTTGACAGCAGCGCTATTTTGGGA